CCCGGGCTGGATTCAAACCCGCCACCTTAGGTGTATGTGGCTGGCGCCTTAGCCACTTGAGCCGCAGGTGCCGAGCCTCATGTGTCATTTTAAATAGACAACTAGTTTAAATTGCACACGAACTTTATGAACACTCTGAATAAGCACTGATTTTTCACTAAGATAATTAATTGAATTAATCCTCACACAATTTTAATTAATACCTAAATTCTAATAAAATTAGAATGGCATTCTGCTAAACCCTATACATGAAGAAGCTATGCGTAGCTTAGCTGGTTAAGATGAAGCCAATAATAAGATTTACCATTTTGTATCTGGAGATCATTCTTTCTCTTAAAAAAACAAAACAAAACAGTATCTCTCTGGCACTGTGTTTTTGGTGCTTAATCCTTTTCATTTCAGAGACATAAAAAGCAATGCTAAAGGTTGGTGCTTTGGTGGGTATGTGGTTGGTTTTTCCTATTGGACTCGTTTTTTTCTGCTTTAAAAATGGCATAAAAGAATCCTCTTGAGAGATCAAAGGTTGTCTCTCTGTCTTCCTCCTTCTATTTTCCTTTCTATGTTTTTTCAAGAGCACAGCAGTGATGAAAATGGAGCTGTTTCAATGGCAACTTTGTTGGCATTTAGCATTGGGTTTTTTGTGCCAAGTATTCATCCTCTGGCTCATTTCTAAATTAACAGATGTAGAACCCCTAATTTTAAAACAAAATTACAAGAGGGCTATTGGAATACATTAGCTTTTAACTTTATTTCAATCTTATGAGTCAGTGATTGAATCAAGTTTGACTTCCTCTATTAAGACCCGGGGTAGGCACCCAGTGTGGCCAAGAGCGCCTGGGCCTTAGACCCTCACGGTTTAGATGCTGTTTTTTTGGTCCCATGTTGTTTTCTCAACTGATGCCAGGAGCAGCTGACTCTGAGTTTTGAAGGTCAGGAAAAATTTCATGTTCAATTTAATTGGAATTCTTCATGTTCTTCCAAGAGTGAAATATGAATGAGGAAATACGAATGCTGTTGTTTTGTTCTTGGTTTGTCTTTTTCTAGGCAAAGATGAGGAATATGAAGATCTGCTCAATTCCACTTCCATCTCAACTTTGTTGGATGCACAGGGGTTCAGCGATGTGGAGAAAAGTCCATCGCCTACTCCAGGAATGGGGTCTCCGGGCCGCGACCCATTTAACGCAAGTGTTCCTGAAGAGGTATTTACCGGCTTTCACTATTTCCTTCATGTGGAACAGACCGTGTCACTGAAAGTTAAAACAGCATTGCTAACGTGAAAACATGAGTCCTCGTCTCAGTGCGATTACTTTCTCCGTTTGCCGTGGTCGTCTTTGTGGCCTCTTTAATATGCGTATCCCCCTCTCTCTAGTAAATGACTTGGGCAATATCAAAACCGCTTAGAAGAGTCAGGAAACATGAATCCCTTGGAAATACATATTATCCTAAAGACGAGATTGCAATCTGCCTTAGAATAAGTAGGGAATAAGTAGGTAGGGATAAAGTGGGCTTATCTAAATTGATTTCAGTCACTTTTTAAGGTGACTCTGAAAGATGATGAATGAATAAAATTTCCCTCTGACTTCCTTAGACTTGGAAAAAGCAACTGAAGGAGAGTAAGCAGTCGTAAACTCCTTTGCATTGCATCGAACTGTGCAAAATCTGTTATCAATTGTATATCACCCCAAAACTTTGCGGCTTGAATGACATTTATTTTGCTGATGACTCTGCAACTTGGGCAGGGCTCATCTCTGCTCCAGTTGGCATCAGTAGAAGTGGCCCAAAGGCTGGGGCCTGGACTCATCTGAATGCCGCCTGCTCATATGCCTGGTGGTAGAGGCTGGCTGGTGGCGGGACCCCAGCCGAGGGCCTGGCTAGAACAACTACATGTGACTGTTGCTGTCCTCACAGTCTGGTGGCTGGGTCTTAAGGGGGAGCACCAGGCAAATTTGCCTCACCTTTTCTGACTCCCCTCAGAAGTTACGTGGCATCTCTTCTGCTGTAGTTGTAGGCCCACCCAGATTCAGGGAAGGGAAACACAGACCCTACCTCTTGATGGACAAGGAACACATTGGAAGAACACATGGGATGGGACATATTGGCACAGCCATATTTGGTGCACCTCAAATGCAATCTGCCACCCCACTGTCTGGCTACAACAGTTTACATCTTTCACTCAAGCAAAAAGGCACTTATGCCCTCTTCAAAGACCTCTTAATGAGACATCAGCAACCCAGGATCTTATCATCTAGATCAGGTCAAGGTATAGGTGAAGCTCCTCAAAGTGCTTAGTTCCAGGGCAGCCTGAGCACCATTCCATTCAATTTTAAGAGCTAAGGCCTTAAAGGACAAACTACCTGCTTCTGTGTTCCCCACACACCTGACATACAGGGGTGGGTGGGCGTAGTGTAACTGCTCTGGGCACTCCCATGAGAAAGGAAGAGGAGGGCGGTGCCTGTGGCTCAGTGAGTAAGGTGTCAGCCCCATATACTGAGAGTGGCAGGTTCAAACCTGGCCCCTGCCAAACTGCAAAAAAAAAAAAAAAAAAAAAAAAAAAATAGCTGGGTGTTGTGGCGGGCGCCTGTGGTCCCAGCTACTCAGGAGACTGAGGCAAGAGAATCGCCT